CTCCACTGTTTCCCAGGTGCATCAGCAGGAAGCTAGATGGGAAGTGGAGCAGGTGCCACAACACGGGCTCCCTTGAGAGCTTTCAAATCTGGGCTCTCCTCTTCCACAGCAGTTTCTAGGTGCTTTTTGCACCTGATGGGGAACCGGGTGTTGAAGTGCTGACAGTGAGTTCATGAGGGGTTTCTTTTCCTTGGTCCTTAGGACACCTAGAGCCTTGCTTCCTTCCTCTGCTGATGAGAACTGGCTGGTTCTAGAATCTGCGTGATTTTGGCTCCAATGAACTCGGGTCTTCTTGCTGGGAAAACACGAATCAGGCCCTTAATCTTCATGTTCGTGTTCTTGGGACAGGACCTGGGTAGCGTTGGGCGTCTTTCACAGGCCCAGGGCCCAAGGGGCTGATAATGGGCTGGCATAGGGAGGGGAGAGGTGAAGGATTACCTGAGGCAGCTACCTCCACCCCACCAGGAAATCCTCCTACTCCAGATTTCCTCTCCCCACCCCAACCCTCTTTCTGTGGCTTGGGAATGAGTCAAGTCTGTGGCTCTGTGGCTTTTCTCCTTGTCAGGAAATCTGCCTAGATGCAGCAAATTTGTTCTGCGCCAGGGCTGGGCTCTCTCTTTTAAACCTGGTGAGTGCCAGAGTGTCAGTGTGAGCACACTCGTGTGTGTGTGTGTGTGTGTGTGTGTGCACGCGTGTGCCTGCCTGGGACCACAGGAATTCCAGGGCTGCTCTTCTGCCCATTCCCTTCTTGCAGACCAGGAAGGCTGGGAAGCCATGGGAGCTGCAGCAGGAAGCATGGAAAGGGATGGTGGGGAAGGCAAGCAGGGTTGAGGGGCCGGGGGTCCCTCCAGGTAGTGTGTGTGGGATCCTAACAGGCTGGGCCTCTCACAGAATCAGCAGGGGTAGAGATCAGGAAATGGTCTTTATGCATCCCCTTCCACCCCCACCCCGTGGACTCTGTGGTCAGTGGTAGCTGTGTGGAATGCACACCCACCACCCACAAACCTGCTGCTGGAGAGCCCTGACCCTCCCCCACTCTGAGCTCCTCTCCGGAGATGCCCACACCGGGTTGGCGAGATGACTGCTGCCCTCCTGCCTCTGCTGGGGGCCAGCTTCATCACTGCCTCTTGGACTCTGGTCTTTTCCAGCAGGCACCACTCCTCTACTTCCTCACCCATGAACAGGGAGGCCTGTGATGTGTCAGCCTAACCAAGACCCACTGTGCTCTCTCCTAGGGTTCTTGGTCCTGAGTGCTTCCTAGGGAAGATTCAAAGGGTGGCAGGTAAGAGGTGGCCCTGGGGGGCAGCTCTCACTCCCTCAGAGACCTTTGGCCTGGAGGGTGGGAGGTGGAGGCGGGGCCTGCAGTAGCTCCACCCTCCCTGACTCCTCCTGCAGTGTCTCCAGACTCGGGACAGGAGCAGCTCAAGAGCAGCTCAAGAAACCAACATAAGCTCATGTCTGGGGCAGTGCCCAAAGAACAGAAGTCCGTGCTTGATAGGGGAAGGAAGCAGAAGCAGCCCAGGTTTGTTCGCACACTGGGTCTTACCTAAGTCCCATAACCTTGCGGGTGAGTCCCCTGGGAGTCCCTCAGGGGAGTCTTCCCTGCCCTGGGCTCAGGGCCCTGTGTGCGCTGACAAAGCCTCAGGAGAGGTGTCATGCCTAGTTTGGAAGGAAAGTGCTCCGTCCAGAGGGAGGAGGAGGAGCAACAAAGGGCTCAACCCCAAGGCTCCCAGGGCTCTGGGTTCTTTGCCCAGAGGCCTCCATGCCTGCCAGATGGTCTATTCACCAAATCTCACTACCTTGCTTCCTGTGGATTTCAGTGTCAGGTCTTAATAGTTTGACTCATGCCCACAATTGCTCCACAACTGCTCTGGCAAATCCCTTTTACCCACACCAGGGGGAAAAGAAAGAGTCCTTAAAACACCCCTAATCTGGAAATACAAAAATCTGCAAGTTTTTGATTTTCAACGTAATGATGCAAATGGAAAATTCCACACCAGGAAGGACCAGAGCCTTGCTGCGTGGGATTCCTTCCCAACCCACGTTGCAGAGGGAAAAAGCACAACACCTCTGCCTTCTGGCAGAGCACAGGCTGGGGAGGCAGACCCAAGGGTGGATCTGCCTGTGTCACTCTGTGGCTCAAGTTGGTGGGCAAGTAACCTAACCTGGGAGATAAGAGCAGGGGTCCCCAGCTGCAGGCAACTGCCCAGGTCACTTTGTACCTAGGCAAGTATAATGCTGCTGGGAGAAAGGCAGCCAATCGTTAGTTAGTGTTCAGGGCTAACTCTATGTTAATTGTACCAGTGTGCCAGCATAGTTGCCTGTTCTTTAACGTTAAATCCTCAAAGTGTTGGGGTGGGTGGGAGGAGGTCACTGAGGGCATTTGATGTACACAGAGCAGTAGCCACAGGTTCCCTGGGAGGGGCCGGTATATGGCGGCTAAACTGGTCAGAGGGGCCAAGACAGCCAGCACTGCAGGCCTCCACAGGTCAGGGGGCAGCGCCTGCCAGTGTGCACGAGGAGCTGGGATTAGGGGTAGGCTGGGCTTGGGGACTGGAGGGCTCCCTGGGCCAGCCACAGTACCCACTGTGGGAGGCCCACCCATGGCTTTCGTGTTGGTAAGCAGTACATCCTTTCATCTCATGCTGGCCTCAGACACATCAGGGTCTCTGATCTCAGGGACCAGAACCTGTGGGAGTGTGGCCTGGCATTGCCGCACACATTACATGATTAGAAACCTGATTGGGCCTGGCGCGATAGCGTAGTGGTTAAGGTCCTCACCTTGCAGCCCGGGATCCTATGTGAGTGCCGGTTCTAATCCTGGCAGCTCCACTTCCCATCCAGCTCCCTGCTTGTGGCCTGGGAATGCAGTCGAGGATGGCCCAAAGCCTTGGGACCCTGCACAAGCATGGGAGACCTGAAAGAAGCTCCTGGATCCTGGCTTCAGATTGGCTCAGCTCAAGCCGTTGCGGCCACTTGGGGAGTGAATCATCGGACGGAAGATCTTCCTCTCTGTCTCTCCTCCTCTCTGTATATCTGACTTTCCAATAAAAGTAAATAAATCTTTAAAAGAAAAAATAAACCTATGTTGCTGACTCCTGTGCAAAAAAAGCCAACACCTCCGAGTGATGATGAAGATGGGGGAGCACATAGCCACTGGCACCGAATGGAAGTTCTCCAGCTCGTGAGAAGGGATCCGTCAGATGAAACAGGAATAGAGTTCCAGTAACTCAGCATAGGCAAGCCTTACACCCCTAATCAGCAGAAAGTAACTTCAGAACATGTGATGAATCTACACCCTCAGTAACCCTTAGATTAAGAGTCAGAAATCTCTGAGGGGGGAGTGAGGTGGGTAGGCAGCCAGAAGTCACACCCCTCTGCTCTTTGTAAAGCCCACCTATTTATGAAATGACCCCTGCCCCAGGACATACTTCCCCTCTCTGGGGACCTGTGGTGGTGTCATGAAACCGCTCTCCTTCCCCAGATCATATGAAGACCTACAGTGTGGAGAGGTGATCTCGCTCTTCCCCTGCACACAGGATGGAAGGCAGAACATTAGCAATGCCTTACAGGGGCTTTCTTGAAGCTGACTGTATCAGCTTTTGTTACTGTAAGGGCTGCCCGGGAGGAGGGGGCGGGGGATATTTCAGCCTACGGTTCTGCAAGGTCACAGCCCAAGATCAGGTGCTCCCAGGGCATAGTGCAGAGGAAGGCTCACATGATGAGCCAGGGAGCAGAGAGCATGGCTGGCCACCCCCCCAGGCCAACGTAACCAGCCCCTGTCAAAGTCGCCCCCTACCAGGCCCACTTCCCAGTCACCACAGTGGGATTAAGGCTGCTGTAGTCTCACAGGTTTGTGACTTTGGCATGAGCTGGGGAACTAAATCATATAGTCAGACTACAACACCGATCCCACCACGTACATGTTCAACGCATGCTGCTCCCTATGGCTCTCTGACTTGGTCTTTGCTACTGATGACACAGAAACATGCAACTGAGATTTACTTATTTTAAAATTTAGTTGGAAGACAGAAACACATGTCCAGAGAGAGACAGAGAGAGGTCTGTTAGCTGCTCCCCAAATACCATCTCCCCCACTATCAAGAGCTGAGTCAGGCCAAAGCCAGGAACCCAGAACTCAACCCGGGTGTCCCACACAGGTGACAGTGACCCAAGTACGTGAGCCATCATCTGCTGTCTCCAGGGCACACGTTAGCAGAAGATGGGATGAAAAGCAGAGTTGGGATGTGGGCACCCCAGGTGGCCTGTCAGCTACTCCCCACATGCTTCCTCCACAGCTGCCCTGTGGATCCTGACCTGGAGACTTCACCTCTGCCTCTGGTCCGTTGAGTTCTGTGGTCGTTACTTTCTCACTCCAGTCCCCTGAGGTGCTCCGTGGCTTTGACACTGTCATCAGACATGTAAGAAGTACCCCCTGGCCCCCAGGCTGGCCAGCAAGTGGCCTGCTGGCTGTTCCTGCATTAACATTGTCGACCCAGTGCTGTGAGCTTGCAGGGGATCAGGGTTTGTCCCCTGTCTGACACTGAGAACTTCTGGAACTCCTATGTGGGAAGCTGCTTTCACAGTTTCTGGTCGTTGCACTCCAGTTGAAAATGGAATGCAAGTGTTATGGGGGAGTGAGCCGAGTGGGCTCACGTCACTTGTGTGTGGCCCACCTGGGCACCTACTGTGAGTGAGTCCACCGTCCAGCAGACACAGACCCCAGGTGTTAGTTTCTAGCTCCTGGGCAGCACCACACCTAGCACTAAGAGGGAGTGTTTGCTAGGGTGTCCCCCTCGTTGACTCTGCTGCAGAAATAGAGAGAGAGAAGTGAGGAATAAACTTCTTATAAAATGTAATGCTTTCAGAACTGCAGTAGCCTGAGGCCGGGGGAGTGGAGAAGGGGTGAGGAGGGGTGGGGGTGGGCAATGGAGAACAGCCAGGAACTTTCCAGCAGGAGGACACAGGGGTCCTCAGTGCACAGGACGGGGCTGACCCGACTGCGTGATCACCACCAACTTGTTCTCTCTCAGTCTCTGTCTCAGAACATTCCAGAACCATGCTGCCTGCTTAAACTCGGATCTGCTGCTGCTCCTTCTTCTTCACCTCCGACCAGATGTCTGACAGGTCTTGGATGAACTGCTGGATCTACAGACACGGAGACCAGAGTCAACCCCAGCCAGCCAGGGGCTTCCCCACATTGTGACAGCACCCAGAGGCAGTCACGTGTCCATCACCTTCCTGGGTGGCTGACATCCTGAGGAGGCCACGCTGCTATGTCTGACAGTTTTTCTAGGTAAGCCTAGGTTATTGGGTTTAGTAGATTAGAAGATATGAACCCAGCTGGGGCTGCTGGGGGCAGACAGAGGCAGGCTGACTGTCTAATGGAAGGGAGCAGAACGACAGGAGATCCTGTACACGCAGGGGACAAGAAGCATCCAGTAGCCAGGGCCCTCCACAACCTCCCAGCTCCCGAGGTACTCCCATCCTTGAGTCTCAGGACTGGTGCTCAATGTGACTACCGTGAGGTGTCAAGAGATATTTAAATTCTGTTTGCAGGTATTTCTGTGTTAAAAAGCATGTGATCAGGGGCCAGCACTGTGGCAAAGTGAGTTAAGCCACTGACTGCGATGCGGGTGTCCCATTTGGGGAAGCAGCAGAGGATGGCCCTAATGTTTGGGCCCTGCACCCATGTGGGAGATCCGGATGAAGCTTTTGGCTCCTGGCTTTGGCCTGGCCCAACCATGGCCGTTGGGATCCTTTAAGGAGTGAACAGCAGATAGAAGATTTCCTTCTCTCTCTCTTCCTCTTCTCTGTTAACTATGATATTTCAAGTAAATAAATAAATCTAAAGAAAGGGGGGGGGCAGGCTTGGAATCATCACGACATAGCAGGAAAAGTCCTAAGTGGAAGGACAGAAAATCTGAATATCACTTAGCTTCCAATACAACTTCCTGCTAATATCACATCCTGAGAGGCAACAGACGGTGGCCCAAGTACTTGGGTCCCTGTCACCCATGTGGGAGAACAAATAGTTTCCCTGGCTCCTGGGCTCCTGGGCTCCTGGGCTCCTGGGCTCCTGGCTTCAGCTTGGCCCAGCCCCAGTTGTTGAGGCCACTCAGGGAAATAGTTCCATCTTTCCCTTTCTACTTCTCTCTGTCACTAGGCTTTTCAACTAAATCAATCATAACTAGTAAAGATGGGCAAAGGAGAAGTGGGCCGGCCTCCATGGCCTCTGGAGCCTCCAAGCCCTCGACAATGCCATCAGCCGCTGCTGCTATGAGCGCCGAGCCACCAGTCATGGCAACAAGCTACTTGCCAGGGGGAATGCATAGTCAGGGAACCCAAGCCAGTTCCCCAACCACACGGAGAAGACCAGTTCTGCATTTCCCAGACTGTTCTGAAGTAATGGATCTTGTATAAACCAGAAGGGTTCTATAGTCTGATATTTAGAGACGTGACCTGCTTGTGACCCATTAGCAAGGCCAGGAGCCCATCATGCATCCAAAACAAGCAAAACAAACGCACAGCCGCCCACCGTATCTTCCTTCAGGATAGCCACAAGAAGGTGACCCAAGGACCACAGGGAACCCTCCTGGTGTGAGAATACTCGCTGCTCCTAACTCGCTCATGGACACAGCAGGAACACACGCTAGAGGACATGTGACATTGCCCATCACAACAGGACAGCACAGATGCCACTCTGAGAGTCTCCCTGCCCTCCACAAGTCAGACACTAGAGGGATCTTTCAGGGTCCACATATGATGCCGGGGATCTGCCAGGGGCACACAACGCCATGCTGGGGATCTGCCAGGGGCCCACAATGCCATGCTCTTCACAAAGCAGCTTTACAAACTTGTTAACAAAAAGATGCACTTCTATTAACAGGTCTGTTATCACTGTAAAATGAATCAAACATATAAAGTTTTCTATTTTTTTTTAAGATTTATTTATGAAGCTGAAGTCACAGAATAAGAGAGAAACCTTCCATTTGCTGGCTTACTCCTCAAACAATTGAAACGTCTAGGGCTGGGCTGGACCAAAGCCAGGATCCAAGAGTTTCATTTGGGTCATCCATATATGGATGGCAGGGGCCCAAGCACTTGAGCCATTTTCTGCTGCTTTAGGAGAAAATCACCATGGAGCAAGATCGGAAGTGGAGCAGCTAGGACACAAACTGGCACCTGTATGGCATGCCAGCATCACAGATGGTGGCTTTCCTTGCTACACCACAAGGCTATTCTGTGTTTTAATGTCTAATATAATGAGAATAAATATACATCTGAGCCCAGCACTGTGGCCTAGTGACTAGAGTCCTTGCCATGAACACACCGGGATTCCATATGGGTGCCAATTCTAATCCTGGCAGCCCCGCTTTCCATCCAGCTCCCTGCTTGTGACTTGGGAGGGCAGTCGAGGACGGCCCAAAGCCTTGGGACCCTGCACCCATGTGGGAGACCCAGAAGAGCTTCTGACTCCTGGTTTTGGAGTGGCGCAACTCCGGCCATTGCAGTCACTTGGAGAGTGAATCACTCTTCCTCTCTGCCTTTCCTCCTCTCTATATATCTGACTTTGCAATTTAAAAAATGTTAAAAAAAAAAAAAAGAAATATATACCTAACCTGCAGGAAGAGAAGCTCTCCAGAGAGCATCAATACATTTTATTTTTTTTAATTTAAAAAAGAGATTCATTTATTTATTTGAATGGTAGGGTAACAAAGAGGAGGAAAGAGCGACACAGAGAGAGCTTTCATCTGTGAAGTTTTAAGAGTGTAAAGGTATCCTGATACCAAAACATTTGAGATTTGCTAATTCTGGAGCAAATCTTGCAGTGTGACCCCAAGGCATTTGCTCTGAGTCCCCTAAGTTAAGGGAGATGTGAGCTCCCTGGCTCTGCCCAAAGATGCAACCTGGGAAAGCCTCTTGTACCCCAGAAAACTCACACCAACTGGGGAGCCCTTGTAGTTACAGGCACGTGTCTTAAGTTTTAGTCCACACTGCAAAGGTGGTGCAGCCTGCTGCTGCCTCACAACCACATGACAACAGTTACCCTAACCAAGAAGGCGCTGTGATCACAAGCACACCCCTCGGAAGTCAGCTCCCACCCACCTTGCCTACCTGCCTGCCTGCCTGCTGCGCCCTGTAGTGCGGTAGGCACCTCTACCTATTATTCCCTCTGCTGTTCTGAGTCCTATAAGGCCAGGCTGCACAGGCCACCTCCCGGGACACGGGTTTCCCTATGACTCCCCTTACACAACTGCTCAGCGGCTGAAATCTCTTACATCTCACAAGTGTTACTCTCAAAAAAGAAAATTAGGGGAAATGTCTCTCTCAGTCGATCACGTTCATTGATTTGTGCATCATACTCATCACAGGCTTATCGAGTGCCGACTGGTACAGCAGGGAGCCAAACACACAGAATCCCTTGCTTTCTGATGGCTCACTGTGGAGCCTTAGGCTTTGGTCTGAGCAAGGAAGAACCAGGCAGGGGGCCTCAAAGCACCGGTGTTGGGACAGCCCCTGGGGCTCAATTGCTTAGGATGCCCGGGGCCTGGACCAGTGCCAGTTGGAATCCTGGCTCCTCCACTTCCCATCCAGCTTTCTACTAAGGCACCCCTGGGTGCTGTATATGAGGGCACTTCATAACGGTCACAGGGAAAATGGAGCTAAAATGATAAGCTGATGTTGATGCAGAGCGTTTCTTAAATCTGTGCATAGTTTTCTTACTCTAAGGCCCGCTCACCCACTTGCCGGCTCGCCTGCCGGTCCCCCTACCATGTCCAGCTGCTTGTGCGTGTCCTCCAGGGATACGTGGGCCATGTCTTTGAGCTGCTTGTTGACAATCTGGAAAAGGTTCAGTGTGGCCATCTTGATGGTGCCAAGCAGGAGGGTCTTCTTGGCCGCTGTGTTCTGGATGTGTGCCCAGCGAGACTCCTGGGGAAGCAGCGCAGGGAATATGAGCGCGTGCATGTGGGTATGCGTGCACGCCCACAGGCCACCTCCTTCACCCAGTGGCCTCCCACTCCCCCAGGGTCTCTCACCCAGATGATGACGTCGCTGCGGGCACGGTCGAAGCGCATCTGCAGGCGAGCCAGGTCATTGTTATGCTGCAAGATCTCATCGTCCTTTTCCTCCATGTAGCGTGCCAGGCGCGCCTTGGCACGCTCAATGTTCTCCTGGCCTTCCTGAGCCGACTGCATGAGGTCGTGGTGCATGCTCACCAGTGTCTTGTAGCGCGCAATCACCTCGTGGATCTCTTCAAACTGCCGCGTGGGGGAAAGCTCGGATCATCACCCTGTCAGCCTGCAGGGTGGCCTGGACGCTCGGACACCAGAGCCACCCTGGGCCAGGGTCAAGGTTGCAGGCATCTTGAGGGGAGAAGGTGCTCCTCATGGGTGGGTGTGGGCCACAATCCACATGTTAGTGGAGGACACACAAATAGGCCATTGCTTCTCAAGCCTATGGAGTGCGGCGTGTTAGTGTTATCCGCAGAATTTTCCAAAAGGATAACCTGCCCAGCTCCTCCCACAGATATCTGGCCAAGGACCAGTGCCAAGGTGTGCCCTGGCGTGGGAATTTTGCAGGTGCGATTCGAGGCATAGCTAGGGTTGAAGATGGCTCGATGGAAGGCAATCTGAGACATCTTCTGGGGCATTTAACCAGAACACACCAAGAGACCTTTGCAAGCCACAAGCTGGGCTAAATGTCAGGAGTTGAGACGGCCAGAGCTGCTGCCCCGAAGCTACAGCCTGTGGGCCGGGTGAGGTGAAAGAGGGGACAAACCCTGGGCCACAACACAACACAGGGCAGGGTGCTCTGTCTGCTGGTGGGGTGGGTGGGCATCGCACAGCTACACCTTCAGGCCTGTCACTCTTGGTTTTTGCTACACATCCTCTGAGGGGGAAGCCAGGCTGGAGGGGGCCCTGGCGGGGGCAGCTAAAGCTCACTTCCCTCCTCTCCTCCAATCCAGTTTCTTTAGAAGGTGATGACAGCACTAGCTCTCCTACCTGGCTCCTCCGGCTCTGGGCTAGCAGTGGCTCATCAAGATGTGCCTCCCCTCCCATTGCTCTAGGACACCCGCTCGCTGCTCTCTTCCATGTCCTGATGTTCCCAGGGATGGACAGGAGTCTGCAATCCACCCCATAAATCCGTCCACTGCTGTGTGTGCCTCTCAGAGACGGGGGCCAGTCACTGCAGCACCAGAGGAAGTGAGAAGAGCCAGAGAAAGGGGGGAGGATGGCTGAGATGAGCCAGACAAAGGCAGGTGGGAAAGGCCAGGCGAGGAGATGGGCCCCCTGAGGACGGATGAGCGGGGTGAGTGTGACATGTTGGAGTCGATTAGTATAAACAGCCTGAGTTTGAGAGCAAGAGGGAGAGACTGACAGGCAGAAGAACAAAGAAAGAAAAATCAAACAGACAAGTGGAGCCAGGAAAGGACTGTGCACTTTTACCCCCCTGTGGGGACCCACTGTGACATGACCACAACCATCTTGGTTTTGGCAGTCACTGTGCCCTATGTCCTCTGTGTGACCCTGGTGCATGTCCTAACTCTCAGGAGAGAAAGTCACTCGGGCAATCTGCTTCTCTAGCGGGATGCCTGGAATGCCTCCTCTAAAACGTTAGTATTTCTTGAAAAAGTCCAGGTATGTGCTGGTTGGCTACTGGCCACCTTTGTCTAGCGCGGTCTGTCAATGCTTTGGATCCTGCTCTGTGGTACAAGCAGTCATCCTGTCTTGCTGCAACCCAAGACACAGTTCGGCCCAGGAACACGCTGGATGATCCTGGATGTGCTGGCGTCTTTGGACACTTCCTACTTGTTCCTGAAACACCACTGAAGGACTTGGAAGGAGCAGAGACACGACTTCAGGTCCACATTGCCACACATGCACTCGATGCAAAATGCAATATCTGGCAATGAATGGGTTACGTGCCAAGAGGGAGCAGCTAGCACTTGGACCCTGAGTGAAGATCTAAAGAAGTTTCCCTGGTCCCAAGAAGAGAGAGCTTGGATATTAGCAAGAAGCGATTAGGATTTAGATGTATCAGATAGGTCACTGCAAAAATCCGTGAGTTCACCATGATGCCAAAAACATCACAGGGCAGTGCTGGAGGATGCTGGAGAACCAAACTCTGAAAAACTGCAAGCAGAGATGCATGTGTTTCAGTAGCAACCTGGGTGAGGGGAAAATGCCCCTGTCCAAAGACCTTCTCGATGGCAATTCATGAGGAACTGGTAGGCATGGGAACCTGCCCTTTCAGGGGGCATCCGGGGCCCACCACTTCTGCTCCATGACTAACTGTAGCTGGCATCAAACACGTCAGCAAGTTCATACTCTACCTTTCTGTCTTGTTGCTTTCATGCTTCACAGGGTCTGTGATGTTAAAGAGAAATATTCACCAAATGCAGCGTGGGGGCAGAGGAGGAAGAGGAAGAGGAGAAGGAAGAGAAGAAGGAAGAAGAAGAGCTTCTACAGTCTTTGAGGGCAAACTTTAACCTTGGTTGAATATTTGTGATTAAGGAGTTATTATTAAAATTTGACCAGGCAGAAGCTGCTGGCTTCAGATCAGTTCAGCTCCGGCCATTCTGGGCTCTTGGGGAGTGAACCAGCAGATGCAATATCTGTCTCTCTTTCTCTCTAACTCTGGCTTCCAAATAAATAAATGAATCTTTAAGAAGGTGAAATTTTCATCCAGCTATGGTGTTTATGAGGGGGAGGCTTCACAACTGATTAAATTAGGTCTTGGGGGGGCGGTGGAAGGCCAATGATTAAATCCTGGTAGCTTAATAAGAAAGGGAGAGAATTCATGAGAATACACAGTGTAATGCCAGGGCTCCTGCCTGCAGTGATGCAGCCGAAGGGGGCAGGTGCAGCCAAGGGTCCCGTCAAGGCTGGCTGTGCTGTTTGGACCACAATCTCTTTCCTTCACAAAGTGGTCTGCCTCAGGAGTTTCATCATAGTCACAAAGTGCTGACTATCCCAGGACATGGGAAGGAGTTTGTGGCCCCCAGGGCCTGGTCTCACCACTGTTTTGCTTTCACAGGCAGACAATCACCAGGTGTCTGCCCTCAGTCTCAGATGAGACTTCTGAATGTCTGTGGAGATAAGCCTTGGAGCTGCTGAAGATGAGATGCTAAAGGCGAAGAGGACAGGGTGTGGTGTCCAGAGGGGAAAATGCTATAGTTAGATGACCAGTAGTCCTCCCTACACTCATGCAGCTGCTTAACCCCCCGACACCTCATGTGGATGGCATGAGGAAGGTAAAAACCTTAGTTGACTGAGTTATTTCCAGGTGGGGCCTTTGCAAGGTGATGGAGTCACTAGAGTGGATCTTTCAGGACCACAAAGAGAGCCACCCCTAGTTTCCGACCACTGCATGACACAGTTGACAAGCAGTGTGACTCGGGTATTTCGTAAAAGCAACAAAAGCTTGAGTAATGCAACTATTGACAAGCATCTGATCCATACCCTGTGTGCACGTATGCAGGCCACTCCTAGGCAGGCATTTGGTGCAGGGCTAAGTAGCTGCTTGGGATGCCCCCATTTCACAGTGGGGCTGCCCGGTTCCAATCCCAGCTCCTCCACTTCCAAGCCCGGTTCCTGCTGCGGTACACACTGGGAGGCAGCCGGTGAAGTATCTGGGTCCCTGCCATCCACGTGACAAACTCAAACTGAGTCCTAGGCTCCTGGTTTCAGCTTGGCCCAGGCCTGGCTGTTGCAGGCATTCTAATATAATTGGAAAATAAGTTGATAAAGAGCTAAATGTCACATTGTACCCCCAGAATAGGTACAATTATCATGCGTCAGTTAAGATTTTTAAAATATTTGTAAACGTATCATTGGTAGGGCTCAGTGAGTTAAACTGCCAGCTGTGACACTGGCATCTCATGCGAGTTCCTGGTTCAAGTCCTGGCTACTTCACTTCCAATTCAGGTCACTGCTAGCACATCTGGAAGAGCAGTAGAGGATGGTCTAAGTACTTACACCCCTGTCGCCCTCATCAGACACCCAGATGGTATTCCAAGCTTCTGGACTCCACCCTGGTCCAGCCTCAGTCACTCTAGCTCCTGGGGGAGAACACCAGCTGAAGGATGAAAAATCTATCTCGTCATCTTTCTTTTTCCCTGTGTGTGTTGTGTCTCCCTCTGTCACTCTGCAGTTCATATAAATAAAATCTTTCAAAAATGGATGATATTTTGAAAGACAAGTAGAAGAATGATGCTACTGCTGGTTGAAAGAGAATCTATTACCAAATAATTAAAAACAAGCACGAAAATGAGAAATTTAGAAAAAGTCCAGGGTACTATTTATCTCCGAGAACAGCGTAGGGCAGGATGGGGTGGGGATGTTAGGACAAGAATGAGATTTGAAAGACACAAAAGGGAATCATTAATAGTCTGTTTAAAAGAAAAGAAAAAAAGAACTAGGAGCAAAGAGGGGGAAAAGATTAAGATCTGACAAAGCTAGCTAGACAGGGAGTGCCAGCATGCACAAGGGCTGCTGTTTCGCATTTTCTGTACATCCCAGCAGGCTTGAGTTTTTCAAACAAAATAAAAGGGGAAAGAAAGAGCCAGGGTGAGAGGCATCAGTGGCTATGGAATGCGGAACTGAGAGGCCAGGAATGGCGCGGAGCTCGACTCCAGATGAGGTGCACTGGTGGTCTGGAGGGGAAAGGGGCAGGGGCTGCATTCCAGACATACTTAGCAGGCCGAATCCCCAGGATCTGCGGAACAAGGCGGGAGAGAGGGTGGGACGGAAACGAGGCCCGAGCTGTGGTGGGGGCTTAGGGTGGGTGGCTGTGCCAGCTGCCAGCAAAGGGGACACGCAGCAGCCCACCAGGGGCAGGGCTGGCTTTGGGGTGGGGGTGGCAGGAAGTGGCTGGGTGGCATGGCCTGCAGCGTAGGAAGGGGATACGGGCTGGGGCTTCCCCCCTCTGCCAGCTGGAATCCTGCAAGCAGCTCACAAGGCCCTAGCTCTTTGGTGTGTCAATCTTCCCTCAGCCTCCCCATCATCCAGCCTACGGTTCAGCTCCTGGTAGCTGGTGTCTGAGCACGGAGGAAGGAGGCAGATCCAGGACTCTGTCACCAAGAAGCAAGGTTAGTGCTTCTGGGTGGATGCACAGGCACTCTTAACAGCTGTGTGTGGGCCTTGTCTCCTTTGGGCCCCTCTGAGATTGGAGTCCAGCCTCCTTGGTGGGGAAACCACATTCAGGCCTAAGTGTGCTGCTGGTCCCTTGGGGGAGAGTGACAGGAGGTGGGGGAACTCACTGACGTGGGCGGCATCCAGAGGAGGGAACTGCTCAGCAGAGCAACGGCAGTGCCAATGGCAGGGCCCTGGGCTCTGGGGAAGAGCCACAGTCCCTGGCACTGGGAAGCCCAGCCAGGAGTGGTTTAGAGCCAGGCCCTGCTGCTCCCCAGCTGTGAGACCCCTGAGTGAGTCACTTAGTGTCTCTGAATTCTGTTGGCTCCCAGGGCTGCTGATCTCTGGGGGCCAAGGAGGGGATGGCACTACATGCACCCATGTCTGTCTTGCAGCCCGGCAGTGGGCCAGTATGTGCTGAGCCCTCCAGCTGGGTGGCAGGCTGCGGTGATTTTCCAGCTTTCTCTCCTCCCCTCTCCAAGGCTTCCTCTTAAATAAACAGAAGACCCTGGGGGAGGAGGGGAAACTGGGGTGATGGAGACCACCTGTTGCTGCAGACTAGGCACACACACACACCACAAAGATACACTTTGCTGGGTCCCTGTCCCTGGCCAAGTGTGTCCAAAGCCAGCTGATCACCATTTGTGGACGCAGAGGTCTCTGGGCCTAGGGCAGAGGAAGCCCTATCCCACCTCAGCCCCACCCTCGGCACTCACCTCCGAGTTCTCCACCACCTTCTCCAGGTACTTGTTGAAGATGGCGTAGTCCTGTAGCTTGGCGCTCAGCCGCTGGTGCTCCACACGCAGGGCCACGATCTCCTGCTTGGCCTTGGCCAGCTCTCGGATGCGCTGCCGCTTGAGGTCCCGCTCCTTGTTGGCCTTCTTCAGGGCACGGATCCGCTTCTGGTCATTCTCCTGGGGGTGAGGGAGAGGGAGGGTAGTGCTGGTTAGGCTGCCTTGTTATGGCGGGGTGTGTGTAAGGGGAGTGGGGGGCAGGCCTGCCTGGACTCTGGGGTGCCGCCAGCCCCCTCTGCCTGCCTGCTGAATCACCTCCCAGCCCTGTCGCCCCGCCTGGAGGACAGGCAGAGACTGCCTCCTCCCAAATGGAACAAAGAGGTTGCTGGTGAACAAACCAATGTTTAGTTCAAGGTCCTGAGGTGGCCATGGGAAGGGGCAAACAGGAAATGATGATAGTTTTCTGGGAATTGGGCTCTGGACTTAGAGGGCATAAGAAAGGGCAGAATCCAAGAGAGAAAGGCAGGCTGGGGAGGACCTAGAGTGTGCCTGGGGAGACCACAGCTTAGGCAAGCAGAGGAAGGTTGGAGGCAGGGGGAGCAAGTACCCAGCCCACCGTGGGTTAGGACCAGAGCAGGACCAAGACATGAGGATCAGAGCTCCTTGGCAGCAGGCTGTGACACTGGCCCCCTGAACTCCTCCCCCCGGAGCTGCGCCAGGCTCTTCGGGGCTCTCCAAGTAGCTCGGCAGTGGCTCCGGACATCTCGGGAATCTGACTGGACAGCATCGCTCGCCTAATGGGCTGACCAGAAAGGCCTTCTCCTTTCGATTGCATGTCCCTAGCCTGTCCTCACGTGCAGTACGAGGACAAAGACAGAAGGGTGGGGTACATGTGAGGAACGAACCCCATCTCAGTCATCATGATGCCTCCAATCGCTCAGCCCTGTCTGTGGTGCATTTGTTCATTCATTCATTCCCTGGATAAACTGGATGCCCCCAGTGTGACTGTGGGCAGGGACCTGGGAGACTGCTACCTTGAGGGCCCAGGGATGGCCAAGGACAGCTACAGGGGACACTAATGACAGAGTGCCAGTGGAAGAGACACTCAGGATCCCTGAGGCACAGAGGACAATTTGAACCCAGGGTGGGGGGAGGCGGTCATCAAAAGTGAGGAGGGTAACGGTGGTGTGCTCTCCAAGCAAGCCGGGGCACCCCCAACCTGTGTCCCCTATGGGGGACACACCTGAATGAACTGCTCAAACTTCTGGATGTAGGCCTTTAGCTGTGCCTCCTTGACGCCCAGCTCCTCCCAGCGCATGGTCAGCATCTCCATTCGGCGCTGAAACATCTTTGGGGGAGGCAAGCCAAGAGGTGAAGCAGGTCCCCTCCAACAGGAGGACTTTCCCCCTGAACATCCCTCTGAGAGGGGCCACAGATCTCTCACTGTGCACCCCAGTGCCTGGCTTGGAGCGTGGGATCCCCAAGACCAGAATTCCAGCTCTGGTGCCCCCCCCAACCACATCTAGGGCTGTCCTCTTCAGGTTCCCCTGCCCACCTCCCCCCCTCTACCTGTGCCCCAGTCGACCCCCCACCCATCACCCTGCCTCCTTCTTCTGCTCCATAGCCTGGTGGACAATCTTGGCCTCCTTCTTCTTCTCCAGCAGCCGGATGGATGGGGAATCCGACTGATCCTCGAGGTTGGGGAATTTCCTGCCCAAGACACACCCGTGGGTTCTGCTGAGATCTTGGAGGGGACTGGCTGGGTACAGAGAGCACCCAGGAGACTGACACCCTCTCCCCACAAGGGTCAGGAGATGGGGTGGAGCAGGAGAGAGACAGTGCTGGCATTTGGGGAGCAAAGCTGGGGGGCAGAGTACTTGTTGGGGGACCCGGGTGGTGGGAAGTGGGGGTCCTGGTAGCAGGCGGGGCAGGGTACACTCACTGCAGTAGTTGCAGCAGCCGCTCCCCATACTGCAGCCGGAAGTATTCGGCCAGGTCTTCCTCTTCCATGATGCCCAGACTCATGGTGGCAGTGGCTTTGGGGCCTGGGCCTGGGACTCTTCACTGTGAAACTGTGGATGGTGTCCCGGGCGGGGGCGGTGGTCGTGGGTGCTCCCCCTTCTCCCTGGGATGGGGGAAGAGAGTTGACGTGTCCGAGAGACGCAGCAGCAGAAGGGGCTGGAGGCTGAGGGTGGCCGCTCCTGGCGGCTTGACGGGTGACCTGGTTACCTAGCAACCACAGGTTCTCCGGTTGAGGGGTGGGCACAAGTGGACCGCGTGCTTTGCCCTCTGACCCCCACCCCCTGCCCCGGTGGACCCCTCTCTTGGCTGGGCCTGCTGTTTCTCTACTTCTGGTCCTAACTGCTCAGGAACTCTTGGAATTCGCTAGACCCCCATGCGACTGGCCCCATGCAAGCTTGCCCAAGGCCCAGAAGGCAGAAGAGCCGGGCTCCTGGGACACTCCTTCCGCCCACCTCGCCGCCGCTCCCGGGGTTCGTGGGTGCGTAGGACGCGAGGCCACCCAGGAAAGGACCTGAGGTGCTTGGTGCGGCACGGGGCTGCGTCGGGCCAGCGCCCGTTGTTTTCTGAGGCGGGCAGAGAAGTACAATGGCCGCGAGGCGTCCCGTGTGGAAGCCGCTGAGGTCCGCCGCACCGCGCGGGCACTTGGTGTAAACTGCCGGGCCTGCGCAGGCTCCAGCCGCCCAGCGGGAGATGGTGGGCCCGGGGCGGGCGTCCACGCGCGGGGTAGGCCGCGGCCACGACCTCGGTCTTCGCGAAGTCCCTGCCAGCCGCCCGGTCTACCTCGCCGGTCGTCTGGCGCCCCCTGCTGGGCCGCCCTCAGCTCGCTCCGTCGCGGAGGCCTGAGGTAGAGACATGCGGACGCCAGGCAGCAAGGCCCGCCCACTGCTCCGGGACACGCCCACCGCGCCGGTGAGACCCGCCCACGGCTCCAGGACACGCCCACTGTCCCGGGACACGCCTGCTCAGATGAGACCCGCCCATCTGTCCTGGGGATGAAAAGTCTTTTGACAGATTTATCTTGTTAGAAACCAAGACATGTATTTTTTTCTTCTAACAGTGGATATTTTCTTTATATATATGTGTGTGTGTGTGTGTAAGAATATATATATATTCTGAATTTATTTGAAGGAGTGACAGGGAGAGGAGGAGAGATATAGAGATTCTTCTATCCATCGCTCCTCAAATGACCGCGACCCTAACAAAGCCAGGAGCCAAGAGCTTCTTGCAGGGCTCCCAGGAGAACGCGGGGTCCAAGCACTTGGGTCATCTTCTGTTGCCTTCCCAGGAGAGTTAGCAGGGAGCTGGAAGGGAAGTGGAGTAACCGGGACTAGAATGAGCGCTCATGTGGGAATACGGCATCGCACATGGAGGCCTAACCCCCCATGTCACAGTGCTGGCCTGTGGATATTATTTCTGTCTTTCACCTTGTCCCATCCTCCCACTGAGAGTTATTTGTTTCAAAGTGGAGAGGAGGTACGTTGACAAATGCTATCCTGGTCGCTGGGACCCCTGGACCCCTGGACCCCTGGTCCCTGGGACCCCTGGACCTGAGACACGCATCTCTCGTTAGCAGGGGCCAAGAGTGTCATGTGGCAGAAAGCAAAGAGGAGGGAAGAATACAGAAGACCTCCCACTGCTCCTTCTGTGCTGGGACAGGTCAGATGGCTCTGGGTGTGACCGGGAGTTCGATGTGGCGTTCCACCGTGTGCGTGGGACGGGAAGCCACGCTGAGAGCATGGAATCGGGGGTTGCGCTGTGCCGCTTTTGAGAATTAAAAGGCTGATTCTAAGTGAGCTGAAAGCAGAGCTTAATGAAGGGTCCAAATGATGCGCCAACGAGGACAAGAAGGAAAGCAGGCCGAGCGTAATCTCGTTTGGGAGGATCTCAGTGGAGACATGAGCCAATTTAATTTCATCCACTTGGTCTTCTCGCTCCCTTGGGAGCGTCTGAGCTGGACTCTACGTGTCTCACTTCGCCGCTCCACCATAGACCCCCAGGCCTGCAAGTGAGAAGAGTCAGCGGCACCAGGACCATGAATAGTTTACTATTAGGAAACCTGTTAATACAAGCAATGATATAAATATGTCTCAAGATGAAAGACTTGCGGTCCAGGTAAGAGGGCCTCCAGCCCGATCTTAAAAAGCCTCAACCATAAGCACACGGAGGTCCTTTAGGACCCTGATAGAAACATGTTTGAACCTGACCGCTGTCATGCCTGATGACTAGAAAGACGTCTGTGTGCACGTTAGGGAAGCAGCGGGCTGCGCCCTGATGTCGCTTGATGAGACCTGGGTAGCTCGAGCTGTGGCCAAGACGCCAGACAAACGAGCATTGCCTGCCTTTTCACACCATGCAGACGCTGTGAGCATGCCCTGCAATGCTCTGAGGGGATGATGAATTAATGCAGGATATTATGAATTCAATGGGATGAGATGCAGTATGTAAGAAGCATTGGTCTCGGGCCTGGCGTCGTGACCTAGTGGCTAAAGTCCTCGCACTGAATACACCGGGATCCCATATGGGCGCTGGTTCCAATACCGACAGCTCCACTTCCCATCCAGTTCCCTGCTTGTGACCTGGGAAGGCAGTCTAGGACGGCCCAAAGCCTTGGAACCCTGCACCTGTGTGGGAGACCTGGAGGACGTTCCTGACTCCTGGCTTCGGATCAGCGCAGCTCTGGCTGTTGCGGTCACTTGGGGAGTGAATTACCAGATGGAAGGTCTTCCTCTCTTGTCTCTCCTCCTCTCTGCATATCTGACTTTCCAACAAAAATAAATAAATATTTAAAAAAAAAAAAAAGAAGAAGAAGCATTGGTCTCTATGCAGAGACAGGGGTCAGAGACACAACCAGTGAGTACGGATGTGGTTAGGATGCGGTTAGATCTGCATGGCCCAGATCTGACTGTTGGGGCCGTTCATGGAGCGAATCAGCAGATGGAACAATCTATCTCTCCTTCTTGTCCTGCTCCTCTTTCAAATAATTAAATAAGTATATCTTTAATTTTTCAAAATTTATTTTTATTGGAAAGTCAGATATTCAGGGAGAAGGAGAGACAGAAAACCTTCCATCCGTTGGTTCACTCCCCAAGTGGCTGCAACACCCGGAACTGAGCTGGTCAGGAGCCAGGAGCTTCCTCTGGGTCTCCCACGCAGGTGCAGGGTCCCAAGGCTTTGGGCCATCCTCCACTGCCTTCCTAGGCCACAAATAGGGAGTTGGATGGGAAGTGGAGCAGCTGGGACATGAATCAGTGCCCATAGGGGTCCCTGGCATTTGCAAGGTGAGGATTTAGTCGCCTGGCTGCTGCTCCGGAACCAAGTTAAACTTTTTAAAAAGGCAGATTCAGGTCTGGCGCAGGCCCTGCTTGGGTAGTGAATGAACAGACAGAAGATCTTCCTCTCTATATATCTGACTTTCCAATTTAAAAATATATATATATATTTTTAAACACAGATTTGGGAGCTAGTGCACAACTGACTAATTCTCTGTCTGTGGCTCTAGTATCTCATGCTGGTTCTAGTCCCAGCTGTTCTTCTTCCAACCCAGCTCCCAATTTATAGCTTAGGAAAGCAGCAGAGGATGACTTAAGGCCTTGGGACCCTGTTCCCATGTGGGAGACCTGGAAGAAGGTCCTGCCTTCTGGCTTTGGACCTGCCTAACTCAGGCCCTTACAAACATGTGAGGAGTGAGTCAGCAGATGGAAGATTTCTCTTGGTCTTTTCCTTTTTCTCTGCAACTCTGATTTTCAAATATTGGAAAGTCAGATATACAGAGAGGAGGACAGACACAGATCTTCCATCCGCTGGTTCACTCCCCAAGTGAGCACAATGGCCAGAGCTGAGTTGATCTGAAGCTGGGAGACAGGGGCCTCTTCCAGGTCTCCCACATGGGTGCAAGGTCTCAAGGCTTTGGATCATCCTCTGCTGCTTTCCCATGCCACAAGCAGGGAGCTGGAAAGGAAGTGGAGCAGCTGGGATAGAAACTAGTGCCCATATATGATGCTGAAGCTTGGAGATGGAGGATTAGCCTGTTGAGCTGTTGTGCAGGCCCCTAGGACAGAGCTCTTAGTGCGCCTTGCTTGGCACAGAGGCCCATAGCCAGCCAGAGTTGGGTGGCTGGGTGCTGCTTGCTTCCGCGGTCCTTCCCACACAAGTGCAAATGCTCAGGCTCCAACGTCACCCCGCAGTACCTGTTGCTTCCTAGCTCTCAGAGATGGCTGTCTGGAACCTGTCCTGCTGTTGGCCAAGCTCATGTTTGCTGTACCAGGAGCTGAGAAGTTGCCAGATCCCACTGCTTTGTGGAGGCACATCCTGGAAGTGATGTGTTCCTGCACCAAGCGCCAGTGGCGAGCGCTGATACTGCAGGAGGCTGCCAGTTTGTAGCACAGGCAGAGAGGATTCTAATAGCGCTCCAAAAAGAGGTCAGCCCTCTCCAGAAGTTTGGAGGCTGCAGGTTTTCCTTGGCTTTGGGGCCCTCAGGCTGGGGAGGCAGAGAGGCTGGGGAGGCAGAGAGGCTGGGAATGGTTCTGTTGTGAAGGCCCACAGCCCCCTCTGTCTTAGTGGAATTCGCTGCTTGCTCTCCAGGGCTGATGGGTTTCAGTGCGCTCTGTAGCTCTGGCCCATTTTCGTAGGTCACACTTGTGGTTTGTTTCCACTGCTTTGCTAAGTCCATTGGGTTGTGTTTCTGGGGCAGTGGCTCAGCGAGGTCCTCGCTTCACCATTCCAGAAATGAATGAGGTGATTTTGGAAAGGGAAAGTGGTTCCCTTCACCTCCCCGTCCCCGATTCCAGTAAGACAAGGAAATGACTCCAGGACAAATGAACGAAGGAGGAAAAAAAGGAGGGGTGTGTGTGTGTGTGTGTGCGGGCAGGGAACATATCTTGGAAAAGTGTATTTTCATCTCCATTAGCAGTGCCTCTCCCTTCAAAAGAATTCAGCGTTATATGTCAATCAGAAATAAAGGTCCCAGACCAGGAGTGGTTGAGGCAGGGACACTGGGGAACTGC